TATGATTTCATCTATTTTTTTCTCTATTTTTAAAATATCACTAGATTCTATATGATATATTAGATTTAAAATAAAAAAAATTCTCATCATTGGGGTTAAAAAAATTGATAATTTGATGATTAAAATTTACACTTAAATTTAATCAATTTTAATAATAAAAATGATTTTTGTTTAAGTTTTTAAATAAAAAAATCTAATTGTAAGTTTAAAAACTAATTCTTTTAAGTTATTTAAATAGAAAATTTGATTAGTTTAAGAAGATAAAAAAGTTTTATTAAACTTCTATTACAATTCCTTTATCCTCAGAAATGTAATTTTTTAATGTTTCTAATTTCTTTTTTAAATCTTTACAATCTTCAGATCTAAAGATTGTCATTTCTATTTCTTTTTTATATTTAAAAATCATTTCGAAATAAAATTTCAAATTGTAATAAATTACCTTATACCTGTTATTGTAATAAGAGAATGATGTATTCATAATACCATTTAGATTAAATGTAAATTCTTTTGATAAAAGAATTAAATAATTTTGTAGATAATTAAATCTGTTATTTAAAAATTCATCAATGCTTCTAGTAAATTTAACAGTGCTTTGAGTAAATTTTAAGCAATACATATTAAATACTGTTCTTTTAATTTCTTGAATAAAAAACAAATCATTAACAAAATCAGAATATTTTTTTTAATTCACAATAAACCATTCTAAAGTAATTTTCTTTTTTTAATTTTTCATCTTTTGAACCACTCTTATCACTTATTAAGTTTAAATTAACAGAACATAAATATCTTTGTTCTTTTAAAAAGATCATTAAATCGGTGTTACATAATGGTTTAACAATTTCTTCTTCAATAATAAATATAATCTTTTCAAAGAAAATATTGGAAACATCGTGATTCTTGATGGTATTATTAATCGAATCTTCTAAAACTTTTATGGTTTTAGAAACAAGCATTTGATTCTTTTTTAAATTAAAATCTGCACCACATAACAATAATTTTAGAAAGAAAAATTTTATAAGGGTTTACGACTTTAAATATTTTTATAAAATTTAAAGTTAATTTTTAAAAATTAGAATAAAAGATTATTTAAATTTAAAAATTAACAATGGTTTGATTCATCTATAAAAAAAACAATTTTAATTTAGAATATGAAGTAAATATTTGAATATCTTTTAATAATAAAATCTTAGAATTATTATTATTTAATCTTCTAACAAGTAAACTAATGATGATTAAAAAATTAAGTTTTTATTAAATGATATTTTAATTAAAAAGACAAATACAATCATTGTATAGTTTTAGAAGTATTTTTCAAAATTATATTACTATAAGAATCAATTTAATAAATTTATTATTTAAACCAATTTAAAACTTCCAACTGTTATTTTTAACAAAAATTTTAGATCAATTTTTTTTCCTAGAAAAGCAAACAAAAAATAAAATAAGAAAAACTTAATTTATTAAAATCTTAATAATTCTTCAAAGTTCTTATCAAACCCAAGATTATTTTTCCAAACTAGTTTCTTTAACAATAAATTAACCAATGATGCCACAATACCTTTATGTATTTTTAGAACATACTTGCATTTATTTCATACATTTTAATGTTTTGAGTGTCATCTATTTGCACAACCATACCATCACCTCCGAGGCGAAGTGGGTTTTTAATGACATGTTTTAAATATTGACTTTGTAAAAGATTAATTATTTTCATAATTACCTTTTTTCCCACGTTCACATCTAATCCTATCTGTACTTGAGATTGGTTTTTAAGCCATTTATAATATATTTTAGTATGCTACTTAGAGGAACATTAAACTTGATAAATTCAATTCATTGTAAATAGAAATGTATTTAGTGTAGTTAATACACCTAAATACTACACCATCTCTATTTCTAGAGTATAGTCTAGTTTCCATATCTTGCAGTCAAGATATGAATTTCACGTACTTCTTCAATACGCCCTTGGTGTGAAGAAACTCTATCAAATTTTCAATTGGCTCACGCAAAAGCGGTTAAAAAACACTGCTATACCAATGATTCCTGGGTTTAAAAGTGTATTTAAAAATATTTTCTTGTATTCTTCTAATATTTTTTATATTTTAAAGGTTCCTTTTTTCCACGTAGGCAAAAATGGACTTGATCCAAAATTTAAATAATCAATTAGTTCTTTATTATTAATTTCTAAGTTAAATTTTTCTATTTCATATTTTAAATCACCATTGTTTAAATCATTATTTCTTTTTAAAGTAGAACACAGATAGAAATGAGTTTATGTTTTCCTATGTAAAGTTTAAATTCGACCATGCTGCGAGGTTCTATTATATTTTTCTCAATTATTGTAATATATCTTCAAATCTCATATTATATAAATCATATTTTACTGTATTCACATGTATAATACCATTTATTATTCCAATATGATCATTAATTCTTTCATTTTAACTTCTGTTATCAGTACATTCTTAAAGATTAAAAATAAAAATAAATTATTAATAGGGGTAAATTATCAAAAATTTATTTAAAAATGAAACTTAATTGATTTTATGGATTTATCATAATATTAAAGACTGAGATTAAATTAGTATTTTTTTTGGAATTTTAAATCTTTGTTTATAAAATCGCTGAAGAACGTTTGAAGATAATTTATTTACTAAATAATGATTTTATTCCA